AAAAAAAAAAAAAAAAAAGGAAAAGCTAATTTTTCTAGCATGCTTGATCCCTGGAAAATCTTGCAAGATCTCTCCGCACATTCCTTTAAGCTTTAAACCTCTTACCCCCAAAATTCCTAAACCCAGAAGCAGATTTCTCTAAAACCTGAGCAGCTAATTCAAAATTCTTCAGACGTGGCTCATGTACTGCTGACGGTTGCGGAGGTCGTCCATGCAGTCGCGCAAGTCGCTGAGTAGACCTAGACACCTGGGCGGAAGGGCTGCTGCAGGGATTTAAATAACTAGAGTAGGCTTAGGATTTATGGATTGGGATGACGGGGCCTAACTAGCCGTTTAGAAGCTAATTTTGGAAAACAAGACAGAACAATGATACATACGAATTCTCAAAACATGCAACAAAATGGAACTAGAGCTGTGTAGGGCATTAAATGGAAATCGTATGTCGTGGGACTGTTTGACTGGAAGACGGTTTTGGCATGTTATGCTTATGTTCCATGAGGGTTATAAAGGTATTGTTGAAACGAATTTCGCGTTTAGGCTTAGGCAGGCTTCTGGTTGCAGATTTCGGGCGTAAGGATACCCTAAACCCTAAACCCTCAACCCCTAAACCCCTAAACCCTCAACCCCTAAACCCTGAACCCTAGACCCCTAAACCCTAAACCCTAAGCCCTCATTTTCGGATTCGAGGGCTACAGGTCCACAGGCTAGGATTTAATGATTCTAGCTATAGTCCAAATTCCGAGTATCACCCTTAATAAGGCCTATCAAAGTCCCTGAAGCCCGCTGAGCTACCTAACACAGCTTGGATTTAAAATGACACTTCTCCCAAAAAGAGTAACTATACTCAACCCGCAACCTTGAACCCACACTCCCATATTGCCTTTGTCCAAAGAACTCCTAGAAGTGCCCTTCTTTTTGGGTTTAAGGTTGCGATTTAGGGGTTGAGGGTTCAGATCAGGCTGTCCTTGCAACGAAGGATCTACATTACTCTAAACTACAGAGGGCGAGCGCTACTTCTGAGTCTTCTACCACTCCAGAACACAGCTGCCAAAAAAGAAAACTCCTGCTCAAACCCCCCACAAACCCTGAACCCTGTCTAAATCCATGCTTGAAGCCATCATCACTCTTGACAATTTGTATTTCGCCTAGCCAGAGCACACAGGATCACCACTTTGCACCAGCGGAGAGGCGCCTAAAATCTGAGAAGCGTCCTGCAGTGCGACATGCAAGAAATTTGGGGTGAAAGGTTTAGGGTTTAGGATTCTACCCTAAAACCCGAAACATGAAGGAATCTTGCTTTGGCAGTTTGGCAGCTAACCCCTCAACCACACACTCCTAAATCCCTGAACCTTCACCTGCCACATACCTATCAACCCCTAAACCTTAACCTTAGACCCTAAACCCTAAAACCTCTGAACCCACAGACCCCTACACCCCCCAAATCCCAGATGATCCATAGTCTTAATAACCTCTATAATACTCCCGTATATACTCCCCTATATGATCCCCTTTAAGGAGCTGAGACCCCAAACCCTAAAGACCAAACCTTATGTAACCCCCATATGAGCTATAATCTAAACTCCTAGTATCCTCCTTAATATCCCCCACAATACTCACCTTTATACTACCCTATATACCCCCTTAAAAGAATAGTATAGACTATGGCTCATATAACCCCTATAACCTCTTTAAAGGAACAAAGTTTAGATCCTAAACCCTAAAGACCAAACCTTATATAGCCCCCATACAGCTCTAAGGAGCTTAGACCCTAAACCCTATATGACCCCCATAGAGCCCCCATATAACTCCCATATAAACCCCGTATAACTCCCATAACCTCTTTACAGGAACAAAGTTTGAACCTTAAACCCAAGATCCCTGAAGACCAAACCTTATATAACCCCCATATAACTCCTATAACCTCTTTAAAGGAACAAAGTTTTAAAGGAACAGAGTCCTCCAGCAGCTGTCTCGCCTCCTGCAAGGAGCCGCGGTCCCCCTCCCTTCGCGCCGCCTCCAGGGCCTGCGCATAGGATTTTTGAAAGAGTTTAGGGCTTAGGGTTT